AGCAAAACAGGTCCCATCTATAAAATGGCAAAATCAAGGGTTTGCCCCTTGGATTATTTTTAAGGCTGTGAACGTATCCATGAATATGGAGGACCGACTGTACATGACTCCTCATTGTAATATCCTTTTGAACTATCTTTATCATACACCACTTCCATGACACTTCCTTATAGATCTACAGATCCTTCTACTTTAATCATCTATACAAACCTTATGGATCCGGAGAGGAACGTACAAAAAAGAACAGATTCCAGTAAGGCCTTTGACAAGCTCCCCCATGACCCACTTGCAAGCAAATTAGTCCAATGTGGGTTAGGTAATATTACTATTACGTGAATCTGTAATTGTTTAAGCGACCGAATCCAAAGAGTTCCACTTCACCCTGGAAAGAAGTAACTAGTGGGGTGTCACAGGGTTCTGTCCTGGGCCCAGTACTGTTCAACATATTTATTAATGACTTAGATGGGCCTTATACGACAGCGGCCCAGTTTCTTTGTCCGAACATATCTCCCTCTGATCGTAAACATCTCAGAGTTTGTGATCATCAGGGGAGGTCCTGCTCTTGATCCAAACAGCCTCGCAAGCACAATTGGAGGGAATGAGAGACAGGGCCTTCTCGGTGGTGGCCCCCATCTGTGGAATGCACTCCCCAATGAAATCAGGGTGACTTCTTCTCTCCTCTCCTTCAGGAAGAAACTCAAGTCTTGGCTTTAGGACCAAGCTGACTGAGCAACATCTTTAATGACTCGTGAGAATTGTTAATTAAGAGACATTGGACTGGAACTCTGGACTATGATTTTGATTTGCGGAGTCAGACGTAGTTGATTTTTAATGTATTTTATTATTTATTTATTTATTTATTTATTTATTTATTTATTTATTTCGTGTACTTATACCCCGCCCTTCTCACCCCCGAGGGGGGACTCAGGGTGGCTTACAAAAGGCACATCTTGGTGCCTACACAAATACAATAACATATAAACCAGCAATTAAATGTTCAACAATTAAAACAATTAAAAACAACAATATATCACACAATCAATAGCCAATCTCAGACGCAGCGTTCGCCAACTCAGAATTCATGTTTCGCTCTACCTTGTCCAGTTCCTATCTATCGTCACAGTCCCTTATTCATCTGCCAGATTGCCCAAACGCCTGGTCCCACACCCCCGACAGATAGCCATTGAGCCTCTGTTTAAAAGCTTCCAAGGAAGGAGCTTCCATTATACTCTGAGGCAAAGGGTTCCACTGTTGAACAGCTCTTACAGTCAGGAAGTTCTTCCTTATGTTCAGGTAGAATCTCCTTTCCTGTAATTTTAACCCATTGCTCCGAGACCTAGTTTCTAGAGCAGCGGAAAACAAGCCTGCTCCCTTTCCCTTATGGCATCCTTTCACATTTTAATACATGGCTATCATATCTCCTCTCAGCCTTCTCTTCTTCAGGCTAAACATGCCAATCTCTTTAAGCAGTTCCTCATAGGGCTTGTTCTCCAGACCCTTGATCATTTTAATTGTCCTCTTCTGGACACATTCCGGCTTGTCAACACCTTCCATTAATTGTGGTGCCCAGACTTGGACACAGTGTGGTTCCAGATAGGGACTGACCAAGGCAGAATAGAGGAGTAGCATGACTTCCCTGGAACTAAACACTATACTCCTATTGATGCAGGCCTAAATCCATTGGCTTTTTTTGCCACCGCATCACATTGTTGGCTCATGTTTAACACATGATGAGAAGAAATATTAGTCTACTGTAAGTCCCAGATATCACTCCCTTCACCAGAAATTTACAGTGCAGGCAAGGCATTTGTACATTTATTTGAACTTGGTGGTCTCATGTACACAAAAACCATCCACCGTCAGAAAGGAGTGGCTGGATTTCCAAAGCACCAGATCATGTTACTTCTCCCTACTGCACAGAAGAGCCAGGTGACACCTACAATATGACATTTTCCCTAACAAATCTGTAATTAAGAGACGTGTGGAGACTAGATGAGCTAATCCTATCAGGGAACACTTTGCAGGCCTCCACACCATCAAATAACTACACTAGGGACTTAGCAGAAGCCCATTCAATACACTTGCCAAGCAGCTGCTGAGATATTGCTTCAGTCCTGGCCATAACCCAGTTTTCTTGGCTGCCCCAAGCAACATGATCAGGGTAGAAATCACAAAGCTATTAGAGCATTCATTAGAACACAGATGAGCAGCCAGAGAGCCCTGACATTCCGAATCCTGGAGTAGCCTGGATCCAAGCCAGATCCATCTTAACTTAATGTTGAAAACAGTGGCATTTTGAGACGTGCTTTGACCCCGGTAGGCTAGCATAGAAAGGTGTGTAAAAGCCGACCCTCGAATTCTACTTGGCAGTCTGCCCCAAGGGAAAAGAGAGATTCTGAGAAGCATGTGAAGGCCAGTTTCACAATGTTTGGGGAAACAAATCCTTCCTTACCACAGCAACCAAGTATCACTCCCTATCCTCAGCCAGAGGACGATGTTCTTCTTCAGGAATAGAACTATCTTGTAACCTCTATTGACTACTTGTCTACAGGCAATAAACTGAGGATTTGCTGACACCATCCTATAAAACATTTAAGGAAGGGACACCAACCTATTTATGGACAATATATACATTTCCTTGTAAACTTAATTGGGGTTTATGATACACAACTGCCTTGGAAACAGATTTTTCACTTTAAGACTTTGACTGAACCAGAAGAAAATTGGGAATCCTGTTACTGAATTCAATGTAGCTTGGCAACAAATAAATTATGTGGTTCCCTGCACAAACTTTCCCAAGGTTCGTACCATTTTGGGAAGCAGGAGGGCAGAAATAATGTTGACTTTGTTAAGCCAATCACTGGTCTCAAAGGTTAATTTCTGGATGATATCCAGCTTTAATACATCTGATATAATTTGGCATGAGGAACATTAAGTCATAAAGCATGCGTCAGCAATGGTAAGTATCCCAATAATAATGTCTTGGAAGTTGGACTTAACTGTCTCTCTGTATTTTTCATTGTCTCTTGGTCATTTTCCTTGATACATATCTGCAAAGTTATTTTTAAAAACAGAAGAACATCCCGACAGAATCAGAAATAAAAATAAGGGCCCATGGCTCTGAATCCATTGTTCTGAATTTGGCATGTTCCATGGTTTTCCTTAAGGCTGTACAAAATACAAGAAATCTCAGACCCTTCAGCGCAGCACCAAAGTCCTTGAGGAGCAATAGGTGACCTCTGAACTAACACAGATTTCCCAAAAATGAGCTTAGAAGGAAATGCTCCAGCAACAAAGAGTGAAATGTGCTCAGTCCTGAAAGCAATTAGATTCTTGAATTTCATTATCTCCCCTGATACGATTAGATATCTTGGAGATCAGTCAACTTCACAGCCATAACAAGTCCTGAGGTAATTTCTCACAACCCTGTCGATGTTGTTGAACAGAGAAACCATTCCAACCATTATCTGTCTCACTTGGATGAATGACACTTGGCAACAACCACTTGCAAGTTCTGTGCCAAAACCTTGTCAATAATTCTGTAATCCATATGTAAACAGCAAATAATACAGCTTTCAGCATAAAAACCTGATTACTTATGTGGAAAGGATGACAAAAGAAAACTGTATTCCTAGCCAGAAGCGACTGAGGGGAGGAATCTCCTGGCAAGGAGAATAGCTGAAAGCAGGAAGCGAGGGAAAAGATTTCCCTCAAACATTCAGCATTATAAACTGCAAATCCATCTGAGCCTGGAAACAAGCCAGACCAGAAGAGTCCTTAGTGACTCTTCACTTGGAATCGTATGTTTTAAATCTGTTTGCTAGAGAGCAACATGGGGATCTATTATTAATTCAAGACTAGTCTTGCTTTTCTCTGCCTCCCCACAACTCCACCTAAAACGTACCACGCTGACAGAAATAATAATCTTAAATTATGATGTTTCATCACTATCATGTATTATTTACTAGGTGTTAAAACCAAGCATCGGTGGTCTGCCCACAGGCCTCCAATTGATAGTCATCCAATTTTCTCCTCTTGAAAAGTTGGCACACATTCCCAAACTCTGAATCCTGGTATAGCGATCTTTTATCTACCAAATGATGATGGGCTGCTATAGCGTCCATCTTTTACCATTGGATTGCGAAGAAATGAGGAAGGAAAGAGGAAGATCAAGAAAACAAATAGTAGCTATGGGAGGTGACACTAGGACAACAGCTTAGACGCATTTTGGTAAAACTAAGATAAAGGTTTCCCCTTGACACTAAGTCTAGTTGTGTCTGACTCTTGAGGATGGTGCTCATCTCCATTTCTAAGCCAAAGAGCCAGCGTTGGCCATAGACACCTCCTAGGTCATGTGGCCAGCATGACTGCATGGAGCGCTGTTACCTTCCTGCCGAAGCGGATCAACTCATATTTGCATGTTTTTGAACTGCTAGATTGGCAGAAGCTGGGGAATGAAAAATATAAGACCCACCACAGCAGGTTTTGAAGACCAGAAGCATCCCTCTTCTTTTTATGCTGCCCCAAAGCCTCCCCTTGCCAGTGTTATTCCTGAGTAATAGGCCAAAGCTGCAATGGTATTCTTTAAGGCCCATGAATGGGTGTTGGTTTTTTCTAAAGGACCTAAAAAAAATTTCAAACACTTTTTTCAACTACTGATCAAAAATGTCATTTCTGTTTCTAGGTTATTGTTGTTGTTGTTTATTTTACTGTGCTTTCATTTTATAAATCACATCTTTTGCAATGATCATGACCACATCAAAGATATTAACCATTAGATAGGCAGCAGCAACAAAATGGTGCAGAGAGGAATGTTCTAACTCCATTTTCCAAGAAGTCACTCATATTATATGAGAATTGACTGTGAAAATAGAAGAATAATCGTGATGATTATTTCCCCTTAAACATCAGTAACTACACACATTTATTTGTTCAATATGGTGCAAAATTTTGATTCAAAGTTGTACTTTACACATAAAGACAACCAAACATGACTTTACCTCTCCGTGTCTTAAAGGAGTAATTGTTCCCCTCGATACTCCCATGCGAAACAATGCTTCTGTGGCCTGCATACAAAAAAGAGAATGTTAGTTCAAAAAGGACAAAGTTGAGGTTTCTGACTTACAGATATTATTTGAAACTTGACATGTTGCTTTTTTCGTGTCAGGAGTGACTTGAGAAACTGCAAGTTGCTTCTGGTGTGAATGAATTGGCCATCTGCAAGGACGTTGCCCAGGGGACGCCCAGATGTTTTGATGTTTTACCATCCTTGTGGGAGGCTTCTCTCGTGTCCCCACATGGGGAGCTGGAGATGACAGAGGGAGCTCATCTGTGCTCTCCTCAGATTCGAACCTCCGATTTGTTGGACTTCAGTCCTGCTGGCACAAAGGTTTAACCCATTGCACCACCGGGGGCTCAACACGTTGGTGAAATGAGGAAATATAGGACAATCCATACTCTCAGATAGAATAAAATGAGAAATAATAAACAGTGTTTGTTATATTAAAAAACATAGTTAAAGTGTAAATATCTGTTCAATAACTTCACAGATAGCTCCCATGAAATAAAGAGATCTGCCAGCATTTACCTAAAAGTATTAAAGGAAATGTAAGTTTTCCAACAATTGGGAAGAACACAGTCATTAAATAATTATCTTTTTTCAACAACACTAACACAATGCAATAGTTTAGAAACCAAAACAGAGGAAAATGACAGATTATATGCTTTCTTTTTATTTAGTTGTGAATGAAAGAGCTAAATGGTTAGCTCAAGACTCATTCTCTCTATAAGAAGGATGCAAAGGACAGATTCCTTTTCCAAAAGTTTGCTGGAACAGATGAGACAACACAGGAAATTCTTCAAATGCACAATATTCATTTGTGTTTCTTCCCCTCTAATTTGTAGATAGCCAATATTTCCCTGCACATCATGTCTTAGTAGGTGTATAAGCATTTTTTTTTCATTTTTTCATACTTTCACCATCTTATTTCTAAAGTTGCAACCACCAACTCACAGGTTTCCACATATTAGCTCATTTACACCCACAAGAAGTTCAGACCAATGCCAAGACCTAATTCTTCTTCAACCTCTTGAAGATTAAAGGGCTGAGAATCTTATTCAACCCTTGCGCGCTTCAGAATAGATTTCTTTCATCCATTCTTTGCACCAACATTTTAAGGATGTTTCAGCCAAATAGAACAGTCTGTCGATGCTGCTAAGCTCCTTTTGTTCCTATTGAGAACCAGTGGTGTGTATAACTTTTGTTCTTCGTCAGGCAGCAAACGTCCTTTAATATAGTTGCACTCACACAACTAAAATCAGTTGTCAAAGCTCCTTGGAGAACAAGTGAGATACACGGCATTAGTGAATCTAGGACCATGGATTTCATGATAGGATCACCACGCACATGTGCCGACTGCTGCTAAGGAGATTAGAACTATACTGAAAGTGCCCTGTTTAAATGAGTGTTGGGAAGGGAAGGATACAATGATCCCAAAGCTTTTTGATAGTAAGACTGTGGGTTTTTAGCACATACAGAGATGCCTAAGTATTTAAGGGGTTAGCCAAGTCAGGGGGAGCAGTAACTGAGATGTATAAGAGCATTGTATTAACATAAAACCCAGGATATAGTTTTGGTTGGGTACACAAAGTTAACAAAGTTTAATTTAGAAAGAGAAATCAGAATGGAAATGGACATTAAAAATTATTGACACTGCTTAATTTAAAGTTCTGCTATGAAAGCATATGAATGCAATGTCTTTGGAAATTTTACATATAAATCTTTTTTCCCATATTTTAATATTGTATATATACTGCACAAAAATGTAATTGCAATGCATCACATTGTTATTCAAGTTTTCTTTGGTGTCTCTAAAGATTGACTCGTACAGTAAATGCTTAACTATCTATATATAAAAAATGCTCTGTTTGTTTTGAGTGACATTATAACTAAAAATCTGTTTGATGAATTGCCACCAAATTTGGCCACAAGGCACCTACTATCCCAAGAAGTGACCATCACTCAAAAAATTAATTTTGTCATTTGGGAGTTTTAGTTGCTGGGATATATAGTTTTTACCTACAATCAAAGAGCATTCTGACCTCCATCAACAATGGAATTGAACCAAACATGGCACACAGGACTCCCATGACCAACAGAAAACATTAGAAGGGTTTGGTGGGCATTGACCTTGAGTTTTGGAGTTGTAGTTCACCTACATCCAGAGAGCACTGTGGTTTCAAACAATCAAGGATCTAGATCAAATTTGGCACAAATACTCCATATGCCCAAATATGAACACAGATGGAGTTTGGGGAAAAAACACCTTGACATTTGGGAGTTGTAGTTACTGGGATTTATAATTCACCTGCAATCAAAGAGCATTCTGAACCTCACCAATGATAGAATTGGGCCAAACTTCCCACACAGAACCTCCATGATCAACAGAAAATACTGTGTTTTCTAGTGGTCTTTGGTGACCCTTCTGACACCTCCTTGCGACCCCCCCCCCCCACGAGAAACGCTGCCTTAAGACTATCCAGTCCAACTCCCTTCATCAGGGCAAGAAAACATACACACACACATATATGTATAAGACAGATATCGTATCATAGATTTGAAAAGGACTCCTAAAGAAGGACAATTATATATTCCAGAGTAGGCAAACCAGACAATCTCTACATCAACACTGACAAAGAAACAAGAAATACTGTTTACCCACAAGCATTAAGAAATTACATATATTAGAAACCAACACTTTCTTATTACTTTATTTTCCAGATCACCAGACTGGGCCACAGCAATCTGCAGCAGGGGCGACTAGTGTTAAATAAATACAATTTTAAAAATTTACTTAGGTGCAGAGGAAAAAAAATAAGGTGCTGATCCCCCCGCCCACAAGACAGGAAATCATCAATTCTATGAATTTTTTGTAGTTTTTTTTATTTACATACCTTAACAACTTACCGTGTAAACAAAACACAAAACAGTGAACATTTTAAAAACACATAGACCCACCACCAAGACCTGAACAAATATTCTTGCCTTTGCCATATCAACTATTAATCAAATGTAATATCCAAAATTCCTGACCAACAAGGTTATATTATTTTCCATTTTCACTCTCTAAAGCATATTTAATAAAAACGACCAGTATGCATCAAAATCTGATCTGTTAGTTTCCTTCCTGAATACCCTCATTTTCATTGATAGTTTATCATTTAAGGCTACATTCCATACTTCCCCATATCGTGCTTCCGGTGTAAGATTAATTACTATTTTCCAATTCCTTGCAATTATAATTCTTGCCACTGTGAGTAAAATAATCACCAATTCAACTCTGTGGCATCCATTAGTAATGCTAACCTAGCATCCGGAGTAATATTTAGTCCTATAATATTACCTATTTCGATAAATATATCATTCCAAAAACTCTTCAATTGGGGGCATTCCTTCCATAAATGAAAATATGTCCCTTTGTGTACACCACATCTCCAGCAGAAGCTGCTTTGCTTGCTATCCATTTGCTATCCATTTGATGTTATTTATCCGGTGTGGTATACTGTCTCCATATAACTTTGTACACATTTTCTTATAATTTTATTGATAGATTCTTAACCACTCTCCACTTTGGAACCTTTTCCCAATCAAAATCTGTCAGAGGCCCTAGGTCTCCTTCCCATACCTTTTCTAACAGCTTCAGCCCATGTGTTCATTTAAAATAACAGTGTATTTTAACAAAATAGCAAGTGAGATACCTAAACATCTCACGGCCAGCACTCAATGCAATAAATTTGGAACTAGTTCAGAGTCTATGGATTCACTATGTGAATCAGGAGATTTATACTTGAATTTCTTCCAAGTAATAATAGTTTTAAACTGGTATGATTATATCATCTTTTACATTCCCCAAAGGCAAAAAGGATTTTATATATGAAGTATTTATAAATGAAAAACTTTACTGTCACAGAAGTGGAAGTTTTTCATGTCTAATAGCAAAGTCCAATGATTTATACATGGAAAAAATGAAAACTGTATCTTGCCCTGATTGCTAGTAATTTATCACAACCCAACAGTAAACAATAAATATTACCTATTGCATCTCATTTGAGTGACAGACAAAGCTTTTTTGTTTCAATTCACATATGCCATACAAATCCACCAAACTAATCAGAACCAGAAGAGCAACATTTAACCTATTTCATATTTCTTAAAGCTGTCCCTCCCTTCCGTCTAGACTGATGGCTAATTAGAACAAAATAATTTCTGGTGAAGGATAGATGCAATCTGATATAGAACTAGTTAGTTGGTGCAATATTTACCTTTGGAGTATCATCAAAGTGGAACCAAAGATCTACAATTAATTGGGTGAAAACAATTAGAAGGTCAAGAAACCCATTCTGGTATGTATTATAAACAGGGTATTTTCTTCTCTAAAGCTGGTCATTTTCTCTAGAAAGTACCTTGGCTACACAGCAAAGCATGAAATAAAAGGCTTTGAAGATGCATGAAGTAAAAGGCTTTGTTGTCATGTCCATGCAACTGTTTAATAGATTACAAACTATAGCATCATGCAATTAACTAACAAGGCAAAGTAAAAAAAGAAGCTAAAATCTGCTGACTCTTAGCATTAATTTATTATCTATCTTTTATGCACAGAATTTTTAACTACCGGACAACGCAACATGAAATTTAAAGGCAACCTTTCAATTCTCTTTTTGATTACCAAAACCAGGATTATTTTTATGTTTTTATTGCTTGGGTAAAACAAAACTAAAATCTCCTCATGAATAAATTACCCTATATACTTGAGTATAAGCCTAGTTTTTCAGTCCTTTTTTAAAGCTGAAAAAGCCCCGCCCCGCCCCCTTGGTTTATATTTGAGTCAAGACTATTTATTATTTTACTCTGTTATTATTATTATTATTTTATTACATGTATTATTTTTCTCTATTTATTATTAGTACTACAAGTATAATTTTACTCTATTTATTATTATTACATTTATTATTTTACTCTATTATTACTATTGTTATTACATTTCCATTATTTTACTCTATTATTATT